TGTACTTGAGCCAGCGAATCTAAATACATAAATTATACTCATCACGCAATTATTACTCATAGTAAATTTTTAGTAAGATGAGTTTTAGTACTAACCATATAAAACGCTGAGGATTCGATCGGGTTGCATTTAATTAACGCATCAAATATAGGTAACTACAACGTATTGAAGCCGTCATAACTACGGTGTGGGACAGTATCAGCTGTAAGACTCTAGAATAGAGTCTTACAGCTGATACTGTCCTCGAACATTGCTTTAAGAAAGATCTTCACTGATCCAATATTACGTTGCAAGCAATGTAAAATTATCTAGCCAATTTGTTGCAAGCATTGCTTCACTGAGCATTTGTTTTTTTTTTATTTTCAACTTCCAGAGAAGGAGTCTATTATAATATACTATTATCATATACTACGTGAAATTAAGCACGTTCGATTAGACAGTGCTTGGTTGTTTGATAAACTTCCACAAGTTTTCATAGATAACGCGAAAGAGCTAACGAACTTCCATTGTTTCCTCAGAACTCAGATGCTTGTTGAAGCGACCATCAACATGCAGCTTACTTTACTGATAGGATGTACTAACGAGAAGATCTCAGGGGATCAGCAGGCTCCACGAGCTTCCATAAGACGGCATTATTGGGCAACACTGTTCGCCATTTTTTAGCGTATAGCCACCCAAATAACGATCGTCCTCTGCACTCCATGCCCAATATATATATATATAGTTGTAACAGCGGGCTGTTCATCTGGATGCGATTACGATGCTTTCTTATTACTGAGAACTATTACGAACGACAATGGTAGAAAAGCTAAACAGATATATACGTGATGTCTCACGTGTCCCTTGAAGGGAGGATTATCTTTAATTTGAGCCGTGACAAATTTTCGCCATTTTTTTGTAATTACCAGGCGCTTCTTGTAAAAGCACGCTACTGAGTAGGTGTATAATGAAATGAGGGAGTAATTTCCTTGGACTAAAATAATCGCGGTACCGCACGCCATTGACAGGTGCCCGAAAAAGACAAGCAGGTTGGCAATATCCGAAATATTCGGAAGTTTTACCGTTGCTACATTCAAAGCAATAGCATCCCCTCAGTTTTATTTTTAGAATTTAGAAGCGGCTGGAATTTAATGCCTAACTGTACCAAACAAAAAAATTATGATCCGAACAACCCTGAACGTAATAATACGTAAATTAAGGATAGACGCTTTGTTACTGTGAACAAAGTAAAATCGCTCGGTGCACCTTCGAAATACACTTCTATAGCTCACCAAAAGGTATTTCCTATAGAAATACTAATACAGATTGTTAGCCAGGCCTCAACAGCAAAAGCGTTTTACTACATAGGATGCTATCAGTACACACCGTGTACCTGGCAAGATTTCTGTATAACGATTTCGTTAGAAAGCATCAGGCCCGAGCAAGATTATGGTAACTGGCAAGCTTGACAGCTTGCAAATGGACCGTCCGAAGACAAAACTCAACGATACAAAAAAATAGTTACTCCTTTAACGCGGATACACTCAAGTTCATTCAATAAGTTATTAAATGAACTATATGTCGCAGTCTAGCTGGTCTCCAATTTTGAGTTGGGCCTCTTTCGAAGCAGATCGTTGGCTCGTAACTACATTCGAGCAGTGTTCTACCGTGCTTTACAAGCACTGTTAGGCATAGCAGCAAGGCTGTTATATGAGGTTTGGACACGGTTGGGTCTAGATTGTTTCAGGCCTGATAGTTGTTAGCCGTCTGGCCCTTGCCACGAAACTCTGCTGCCGTCATTTTTGCTCGTAGTAGAACTTCAATTATTATTCATCTAGATCGTCCGAATTCCCATGATTATGTGTTTTGGTCCGCGAGTGCGGAGGTACCATACGAATTGGCGCAGGGAGCCGTTTTGTTATAAATTAGTCTTAAGAAGTTGATTTCATCGACTTCTTTATAAAATCAATTGTTTCGGTTGTTAAAGTTTACGTTAGTATATTGCGCAGTAGAAATGCGATATCCTTCCGGCTCTTTTTGAGCAGTTGTTGGTTTGCACCTGTTGCCCAGTGTCATAATCTGCATTGAAAACATCGTTAGCCGAACGAACGTTGAAAAATCCAAATACATCAACACTGCAAAGCTAGTGTCTTCGCGTGATACTAACTACTATATAGTGCATGGAAGCTCAATTAATTAAAAAGCCGCCTATGTCTGCAGGTTCTGTGGAGCCTCTGTACGTTTGCTAAAAGGAAGGTTCAATATAATTTTAGATTTATATGAAAAAATTATCTTTGCAGTTGATTCGCCTTTTTTTATTTGACCGAACTAGCGCATAAAATAAAAATATGGGCATACAGGAGCCCTTACGCCGTTTCTGAATATATTGTCAGACATATGCCGTGTACGCAAATATCATTGAGCTCTTTCTACCAAGCTGTCAGTGGTTTTCAAAGGCTTCCTGTAACCGAAAACTACATAAGCACAACTCTCTTAATCTGTTTGTAATATATGTGGTTTTAATACGAGGGTAGCACGTGCGAAAGCTAACGTTATTAATACAGGGATTAGGTTAACGCGCAAATCCCTGCGGGGCATTCATAGCTTTCAGCGCCTTAATGCCACTGGATTTTTGTTTGTGGGGTTTTATACAATCAAATAACTAAAAGAGGGCACCCAGCATTAAAGAAAAAAAAAGCTATGCAATTTTGGAAATCGCGCGATTTGCGTATACGAAATTTGTCAAAACTGCGGCCTTCGTTTCGAGAGTGTAAGAACGCCTGACGAAGTCCCAGTTAAGTGAGCCAGTACCTAAGATACAGATCTTGGCATATTCGACAAGCTCATATAGTTTATCTCGGTCCGAAGTTGGTGCATTGTAAGTTAATATCTATACAGCTTGGAACAAAAGTCTCTTGACAGGTGACAAGATCGTCGAAAGGGTATTAACCTTTTGAGCCGCAATTAAAGCAAATACTTTGAATTAATATCACTGAACAAATATAAAGCATTGCGATCGATAACCTCCTGCTCTCTTCCAGGTAAATCCATAATCTCGGCATTGTGGTATCTCTGTGATTTGTGGGTGATAAATTCTGACAAGTTGTTTTTGCATCTTTCCGACGGAACCGTTGAAGGAGCTCAATGGGCATTGCGAAGACTGAAGTAGGCGATGGTACCAAATCCATGCTATATGGCAGATGCATTAAAATTTTCTGTAAACTTCAATTTCTTCTGAGTAGCTACATATGTATGTGATCTGGGAGTGTCACAATGGAAGATAACGTTTTTTCTGTTCAATAAAATGGGTCCATTTTTCTCAATGGCTTGTTGTAATCTTGTTAGTTGCTGGCAGTGGAAGTCCAAATCAGTCGTTTTGTCACGTGACGGCGACTCGCAAACCTTTTCAGTCCCACCAAATGCATAATATCACCCTGTTTGGCATCAGGCTGGGCTGTGCTACAGATTGTATAGCGCATCTGTTTTTGTCTGCACATTATTATCTGTAATATTATAATATTTAATTGACTTTTCATCGTCCGTGTTCAACTGCTGCTTGTTTTTGTTACGTTTCGCAAGCTTTTTTTCTTCAATTGGTAGGTAGTCAACCTTCTTCAAAGGGTCCGTTTAGTGGCGGATGTTCAGTCCCCTGGTGGTACCTAGCTTCTCACGTACAGGTTTCCCTAAGCCTTTGCAATAATTTTTCTCATATCTAGTTGTTGACCACCATGAATGTTATCTAAATCTTAATTTTCAAAATAAAGGTCACACAACGCCGCGAATCTTCCAATAACGTATTTTAGCCATTAACAGTATACAAATGTTTTCATAGACCTGGGCAAAAGTTTGTCGCAAAAATCTCATTCATGTTTAAGGCACTCTATAGTAAGTCTACATGCAGGCACTTGCTTATTTTGCAGTGTGTTGTTTAAAATTGTTGATTTTAATATCTCATTTTTCTAATAATACCAGTGTTTACACTATCTGACTGAGAAAACGATCAATACTTTTCTTTGGACAGTCAAACGTATATATATATATATATGCTCCTACTTTCCTTGTATACATATCTATCAATAGATTTTCACTCTACCTTGTATATTACCGAAACGTCTGATTACACACATAGGCTACCTAAAATATCTTAATGACAACGCCTAACATTTACGGCAGTACCCTGACAATTGAATTGGCGACAATAGATAAGATGCAAGAACGACAAATAATACATGTTTTATACAATAAATATATTTTAAAATATATTGTAAATACTTCTTTTAATCTCAGTGATCTTCTTCGAAAAAATATAAACCTCGTCAAAATAACCAGTTAATTCAATAGATCAATTCAAGGAATATGTTTCCCCATATTATTAGCTATATTGGCGGTTAATATATACTAGAAATCAAGGGAAATATACTTACACGTTGGAGATGTATATCAATACCCAGAAGGCAGGTTTCGACTGGTACATTGGTTTAGGGCAAATGCTGTTTACTCATGTCCACGATTTCTTGGGTGTACAAGAGACGCCAAGTGTTTCGACCACTGCTTGTTGCAGCGTACATCTGAGTCGTATTGACAAGTACTGCTTATCAATGAAGTTCTCGATCTTGCATAGTCCCTATTTGCTTGCCTAGTTCGTAGCGTCTGTTTCCAGATGACCGAGATCAACGGACGCTCAAAACAGCAGACATCGTATTTTCAGCCGTAGATTGATATCTGCGGAGCTAAATGCAATTTTCTTCATAGGAGGCGGTCTTTGTGTGATGGGACGGTGTTACTGCATGCTGCCGAAACGATCAATGAACTAAATGGTATCGAGAAAATAAAGTTCAACAAAAAAAACACGTGTCGCGACAAAGACTGGACATATTAATGTAATTCAACAGTCTGATAAACGATCACATGCTTATTATCTGCCTAGTTTGAACATGTGCTACATTTCTGTATCGTTTTTAACAAAAAACAGGTTGCTATAGGACCAAGAGCCTTCTATAAGTAAATAAAATACAGAAAGATCCTCTCAGTACGATCATTTGAAGTAAATATCTATTGCATTATACGAACAGTAAAATAGTGAATATCTCATTAACAATCCTAATATCACACATGTGGCGAGAGGCTATAGATCATCGTATAGATCAATTTCTCCAGTTTCGCCATTAGTCGGTTGTGCAGGTTCGCTATTGGCGTTCTCTTGAAGTTCATCGACAAAAATTGTTGCGCTATCTTTGTTCAATGGCGGTGTGGACGCTACCCCTGAACTTGTGGGTGAGAGATCAGCAGGTAGATGTTGCGGTGACTGTGAATGAAGAATGGCTTTGCATTCATCAGTGGCATCAACCATTTCGTTGGACGCGTCATCACGAATTGGCGGAGTCGGATCATGACTGGTTGAAGGGGTCAAGGGTAATGTGCTATAAGATTCAGGTTGGGGACTAGCGCTTTCATTATGGTATGCAATCAACCGATTTGAGCCATTTTCAGGCTCAAGCGATGACCTATAATCCCGCTCACGGCCTTTGTATGGCCTACCATAATGTCTTCTTCGAGAATGCTCCGCGAAAGCTATGTCGAAGCCATCCTGCGATTGGTAAGACATATTGTCGCTTACGTTCGGCATCGCATGCGTGCGCGTGTGTCTGATAGGAAGGACTGGCCGGACGTTATATTTTGCCATGCACTCGTAGTAGAGCCGGACCTCTTCAGCAGTCCAGGTGATGCTTTCTAGGACGCTCCGAGAACGATCTGGCCCGTGTCGGTAGTCATGATGATGTCGCTCTCGGTTACGGAAATGGCTATCAGGAATCCGCGATTGATGATAATGATGATGGCCGTCACCGTAAGGGGATGTCGGGTAGCTCATACCCAGATTATTACGTTTTGTAGGGTTTCGGCAATCATTGACAAATTCCCGAAAGCATCCACGAAACAATCGTCTACGGAGAGCTCTTTCTTCCGAAAACTCACCGCTGTCACCTCGGATAAAGGGATGCACGTTTTCCGGCCTATCAATATAGTGACCACTACGCCACATATCCTTGAGCTCGTTAAAGATCACTTCCCGCATGCGTCTTTCTTTAAATTCGATTTCGTTTTTGTTGGGGATGCGACGCCTTTGCTGCTCCAGTTCGTTGACGATTGGCCGGTGTTCGGCCTTTACGAATACTGAAACCTCCTGGGCAATCCGTCGGCGTTTCTCTATGCGGATTTGTTCTCTTATTCGAATGTCCTCATCACAAAGTATTTTATAGAAGATGGCCGGCTTCGCTTCTGTCTGCTTAAAGCCGCACTCTAATGGTGACTTATATTGCCTGTGATTTAGGCCATCAGTGTCACTGTCAATAAGTTCGCCGTCCTCGACCGGCTCCGGAGGTCGAAACGGCTCCTTATAGATCATTTGCTCCGCAAGACTTTGTACGGTCTCGAAGTCATCTTGAAATGCAACCGCCATATTGAGCAGAACAACAAGGTATAACGATGATATTTTAGTCTGTTCACTTAAATCTACTTTAACAATTTGCGATTAAGTTGTGATTCAGTGACCGGTCCTGCCCGAAGGTGATGCCCCGTCTTGCCGTCTGAGGACCTTCGGTTGTTGGAAAGTGTAGCCTGTTGGGCTGGGGAAGACTTAGAGAAGCTCAGAGAAGACTCCTGGGAGCCTTAAGGGTGACACCAGTGCTTTATTTTGAACAACTAAGCTAGTGGATTTGTTGATGAGATACGATACTGGCACTAAGATAGGTGGCCAGCTACGTCATTCTAGTGCTGTATCTATTCCAGTGCCGGACGGCCCGGCTACGCAATGCGGTGGCTCCCTGAACGTGCTTGCGTTCACGCAATGACTTTTGTTATGACGTCGCCAACGCTCCTGCAAAGCATAGACAGAACGTAGTAGGTCAGTCAGTTCCAGGTTTGCAGTGCAAGGCCATCATCAGCGACTAGGCAAGATTATTGATTACCATAAACCAAGATCCGCTGCAACATGGAAAAGGCTAGCGGTATTATCATGTCTTTCGTCCTGACCACCGTTCTGCTGTCTTCAGTTTCCGAGTATGTGCTCGCGCTAGTATGCATGCCTTTTCACAAACAACTTTAGGTCGGCCACTTTACCATACATATTCGCCCGACAGAGTTAAATATACCTAAAGTAGATGAATCGATTTTGGCATAACTATTACAAACTCACGTCGAGGTTATTACCAATGAAATATATATATACAATGTATATATATATACACACAAGGTACATATGTGTACAATGATTCGTCTAATGACAAACAAATTCCCATATATCTCGTTTGTTTTTTTCAGAGTACATTAAATATAGTTCAGCAGTAATGATTTAGGCGTCGGCTTATGATTATGCCTAAATCGATTCATCAAGTTCATGTAAACTTTAGATTTAGAGCGTTAAATTTTCGCGGAATGTTCAGCCAGAATACCGTCATTAGGTCTTCAAGTGTCTGGCTCAGGAATATGCCGTTTGAAGTTCAGCTGGCTTCAGAGAACGAAACCTAGACAACGTCTAGATAAAGATTACTTTGTCTTGTAGGCATTCATTAATCAATATTCAGTTGTTAAGTGGGCTCACGTATTTAGTTTTTATTTTCAGATGACAGAAGCAGAATTTCACCAAACGTAAACGCGGAAAAATTTATTTTCATAGGAACGCGCCCATCAGGGAGCAGAGACGTCTTACTTGTATACCGTTATATACCGTTCGTAGCTCAGTGAAGACGATTAGCCCCCTGACTATCAGTAGGGAGCGGTCTAATAGTACTAACAGGTTCTAATAGTTACATAACGAATCGATGTCTTGCGGTTGCGCAGGATGTCGCCGACAACGGCGTCGAGCTCGCTTTGTTATCGCTCATAGATACTTCAAAATATACACATATTCCGACCCTTTATCTACAAATACAGAAACCTAATATTCGATCTTCGTACGTTAATAGTAAACAGTATTGCACATAACGAACGCGGAAAGTAATACTGAGTATTGGCAAGACATTGTCGACTTTTCTGATGAAAAATACGGTATGATGTTTACATTCAATGAATGTTGTAAGTTGCTAAAGCTCTGAATTTCTTTATGTGACACCCGTCGGTAACGTTAACGTCACGAATCTCTAATGATCAGATTAATTAAGGATTTAAATTGATCCCATATATATATATATATATATATATGGCTTTCATATAAAAGATATAAAAACAAAGCTAGCTAACTGCTACTAAAACTTCAATCATATATGTTGCCTCATGCTGCATTAGCAAACACTGCAAACTGGCTCACAGAAGCCCTGATTGTATATGAACGCTTGTGGATAACGAAAGCAGGAACGGTACCTCTACAGACTACAGTAGAACCAGACTGTATTTGAAGAAACAATTCAGAAGTGATCCATCACGTAACAGCAGAGAATTGAGCAATACATTATTGTGCTAGGCCTATTTTTGATTCGGATAAAATCCTACTCTCAACTATTACTGAACTACTATCGTACGCAACTTACACAACTCGCGCTAGTGCCTTTCATTTGTCCGGTACCCATTCATCCATACGAGTCCAAGAAAGTGTAGCATTTGATGATTAACAAATTTCCACCAATCATTTTAAGTTCTACTCAAACGTACGTTGTTCGACTATTCCACACCAGCCCTTCGTTGTCTCTTTCGAGTTACCCCCGTCAAAATCTCAGGGATGCCTAAGCGATTCTTCGTTGCGCCAACGGCCACATCATCACGACAAGCTCTCCCGAAACGATTATCTCCAATAGTGGTAACATTTACCGACCAGCATATCCCAGTAACTGAGCAAATGCATACACAAGTACATTTTGTGACAAAAGGTAATTAAGCCTAGAGAGCGGAGACGTAAATACGGCGGTACGCTAATCGTCAAAAAGGAGGCATTCATTCTCCTGTTAGGCTGCAGATCCAACGGGCTGCTAGGGACAGCTTTGAACTTACTACTTTTATAGCTGCGATTTCCAGCCCAAACAGTTTTGGCGTGAGAATTTTTCAACACGGTTCTCACCCCAGGTTGCTTTTTTTCCCGCTTATTTTCCGTTACAGAACGGAGCGTAGGTAAATCTAACTACACAGATTCGCCCAGCCTTGTCTGGCAAATACACGTAGGTCGGGAGCTATTCATATCAAGGTATATATGGTCGCCCATCTGCTTCGGGCCGGCCTATTCTACTCGTCGGGAGGAACAAATAGATCTGACATGCCAGTGGAAAATACAACGGCCACACAGAGCTAGCTGACTATATGAACAGCAGGCTGCAGATATATATATATTATAGTTTTTTGGTCGGTAGTCATTGGATCGGTAGAGTTACGGTGTGGAATCGGGCAACTTTCGTAGTTTATAAGTCCACTATGAGCTAGATTTAGACAGTCTTGACGACTCGCATTGCCAGCTCAGCAGACAGATGTGAACTCAGCCCGTAGGTCGTCCAGAAAGCAATCATAGCAGGAGCAGGAGCAGGTAATGACGATGACAGGCCGGTCACCAACTGGAGTGGCACATACGGATAGACAGACCGGAGGAAGCCGGCAACATACGTCGCGTTTACCATCCGCTCGACGTTATCGATCGAGCCGGGCTGACGGTCGCGCACCATGTTTATGGCAGAGATCCGCCCAGTAGAAGTGAACTCTTTCTTCTTGCTTCTCTAAGCGCAGATCTAGCCGGCAACGACGGCAGCAATAAGCCAAAGAGTAGGCAGCTATACGCTCTCTATGGCCACGCTGTACCGTAGAGTTTGTTGCTCCATTGATTTTGTAGCTGTTGTTGCGTTGTCGTGGCTACCAGGAAATATGAACGTGCTCAGATCTGTTAGCCTCCATGTCTACCCACCTACTAACACCGCACGAGTGCTTAGGAGATTCTAGCCAGCGGACGCTATATGTGGCTTATTTCATAGTCGACGTCGTAGCTAGGTAATTTGTATTTTTTTTTTACTTCCAAAGTACTTTAACACGTAACTAACCGCTACAGAAATCGAGCCATAGTCCACAACCATGGAGGCTCGGCAAAGCCAGCTGAAAATCGGACCGACCGATACGGCTGTCATCCTAGAAAGCGTAATAGGAGCTAACGGAAAATGTGAGAAAAATTTGACTGTAAGAGACAAAGGATCGTCGTCGGACCCCTCTCGCTACCACGAACCACTCTGGTGGTAAACGGCGAGCAAAAAAACGAGAAGGCTATTGTTTCACAAAAAGCCAGTACTAACAGAATACGCATAGCTTTGCCTGCAGTAAAAGGAGTTTCGATACGTAGCCAGCAGTAGAAGGGGGCGACTGAATCTACAATAGACTAGATTCGATTCTAGTCCAATACAGTTCGTCCTTGCCTTCTTCAATTGAACAAGGCGCCAAGATTGTGGCGGTAGAGTCCATGTCCACGGAACTCGTAGTAACGTTGATAACAACGGCATGCGGATTACATTATCATGCCCGTGCTGTGAAGTCCGTGGACGTGCGGTAGGCACTCCGAAACAGACCAATCTGACATCGTCTAATTTGTATGGTACGCCCAAGTTTACGTACGCCTTGAATGACAACTTTAGCTTCGTAACATCATTACTAAAGCTTTCTACAGAACCCGGGCTTTTCTACACGATTGGTAACGGACGGAATAGAAGCTAGTAAAATTCATTTAGAGCTTATCTGATTTGGTAAAATAGTTGAACGGACCGGCCGTGTCCAAAGAAGGGTTTTCGGCAACTGTGGAACGAAAGAAAATTAAATGCTACCCTTGCTAAGTTATTGTCGTAGATGAGATAATCGGCGTACCGATCCACAGTGCATATACTGTGTATTTCAAATCAAACCGGTTGGCCTGCCTTTCGTGCAGGTACACGTAACCCACAATCAATATTCCAATGTATTGGGTAACTGCATCGCGATCGAAATTTTATGCATAGGACCAAAGATTAACTGATATAATCATTAGGGACGTTCAAGCGTTATTAAAAGATAACCCACCAAAGCTAGTAGTCCACTTCAAATGGATACTAATCTGCAATAAAAATTTCCAAATTGACACGCTCTTTACATTGAACGTCTTTGAAATTTTGAGGTACGATCTCCTATACTGATGTGCCGCTGAGCATCGAGCCAGTTACTACTTGACAATTGGCGTGGTAACTATGCAAACTTCGTCCGACCAACATGAAAACCATAAGCAAATTCTACCTGATTATATATTTTATATAGTCACCCATAGTTTTCAGTGAAATCAGTTTTGAATAACCAACGACAACTATATATATATATATATACATACATATACATATATACATACATATACATATATACATACATATACATATATACATACATATACATATATATATATTTGTAGGAGACACCCTGTTATGCACAAAAGTACTCTTACTCGCACTTTGTTGATACTCTTTTATTAATCCAAAGAACTACAAGCGGGCCTGAGATCCTTTCATTGCACTATCATCGTATCACTTCGGGGTTCTCGGAGATACTTTACCTGTCACATAAGGTTAAAACAACATCAGAATACGTACGAATTTTACGTGCACAATTTTGTGTCAGTAGAAAACATAGTAGTTTACTATCTAGACCATATAAAAGAGGTCTATATCTGCACAAATCATTTCTGTAGAATTTATCTACGGGTGGGCTAGCTAACGCAAAAGACTCTCTCTCCGTAGTGCGTTATGTTCCTTATTGAACTTATTATAACCAACATGTGGAAAACAAGTCAGATCAATCAACTCCTGGCCATTTTTTCAGGTCACTTCTAGCTGGCCCGCAGCTATTTTTCAAATTATACTAAAAACAAAATTAAAATTTTTATGTTTAAAAGGATCACCTGTCGCGACTTGCTCGACGAACAAACGCAACAGAGAGATTATAGGTCATCGATTCATCATTTATCCGTCGCGTTTACCTTTATATTCATCTCTACTGATTGTCCATGTCCATTTCCTACGAACCCCAACTGCAAATCAAGTTTCGCACACGCAGAAGATAGTGACTAGATTGTGTTATTGACCCTGCATGCTGCAACTATTGTCAAAATCTACTGAAGGCAACTTGTCGCTTTAATGCGATAACTTCTACGGGTTAAGCTTCCTTCTATAGGCACACTATGGGCTGTGCAAGGACTAAAGGACAACCTGCGACCTTTGTTCTCTGTTGCTATCGAAGAACGATAATAACGTTAATAGTATGAATCGTTACGGATTCTGGTGAATCGCACAAAAGCTTACGTGCCACGTAGCCAGCCGGCTGATGCCTTGCGTTAACGGCTCTTACCTGAGCGACTGCGAAATATTATCAACACCCTCCGACGATACCAATATTTTGAAAATACAAACTAATTGTAACAGTATTTATAAGTGTAAATGTTCTTATCTCTTAATACGCTGTGAACACAGTTTGACAGATCCACGCATACGAAATTACATTACTAGAAATAATTACAGAAGCGGCTTCACAAGAGGTCTTGATCGAGGGGATGTGATCCACTGTATTTCTCGTTGCGCACGTACCATCCAGTCTCAGCAGGGCTTTAGAAGCTCAACCACCATCTTGAATCGTTCATTGCTACACAACTATTGACTTCAGGCGTCGTTTTCACGAGAACGTCCTATTGAAACCTTTGAGTCTGCTCGAGAATTCGGCTGGAGAACTATGGTCGTTCCGACGAAACCGCAACGGGAGTAGTAGCTTTGATTAGAAAATCTCGTACACAAATACACACCGATGCTGCTAAGAAACAGCAACTGCCTCTTTGCGTGCTTCAAGACAAATGATTACAATAAGATGCTGACACTTCCTTGATGGTATTCTCTGATATGATCTTAATGAAACACTTATCGATAAACCCCCTCGCGACATCCCACCTGATCTTACCGTTCGATGTGACAGAGCTGCTTAAACTTCGTTCAGGTCCACAATTCGAACGCGTATGGGTAGAGCAGTACCCAGCAGCCGAATTCTCATATGCAATTTTTGTAGACAGAACACACGGCTTAAATTGTGATCGCGTACGAATTGAAATTGTTACTGGATCTGATATTTCGATTTACAGGCTAACAGTAGAAAATGTTTTTCAGCTAATTCATTAACGACATGTTCACGATCAATGTTAGTTTGTTGCAGGTAACCTCTTCTAGGCGTTCGTTAGCTGGCTTTACCGATAAATCAACCGCATCCCCCTCCCTCATTTCATACTGGATCGAACATAGCACAGTGAATAGGTAACGGTACCTTTTGAGCGCAGCCGATTCATCTTATCTCAGTGGTATCCAAATGAAGCAACCGGCCACTCCCGGAAACGGAAACGATTCCGGTCGCGAGAACAAGCTATTTTACGAGCAAATTTACAATCGCCTATTAAGCCCATATAGGTGCAAGTAAAAGCCCTCCAATGGTACTGACAGTTCGGACAAAAAATGGCACATTTTCTCAGTCTAGTAGGTGAGACATGGGAGTATGAAGGTACGAGCGATTGCCCGCCGCCCTGCTAAATGCCGATTGTTTGTGTTTGAGTTACTTGTATCAGACTCAATAGACTTGAACTTGACTGTGATCTTTTTACCTATGATCATCATTTGTATCTGCTTTGCGCATCGCTGTGATCCTATTGACTTGATTTTCGTACATGTAGAGTGGCCCTTTTTGCAATCAGAAACCTTTTGTATTTTCTATTTTTCTTTGTATTTGTCGTCTTTTCATCTCTTTGAAGGTAATCATATAATGATTTCAGCTACGTTGTTCCTGACTGAGAATTTTCGGTAATTTCGAATATTATCCCTATGGAATAAATTAAATAAAACATTACATCTATTTTATTTGGATATATTTATATTTTCTTCGCCTTTGGCGGAAATCTATACACAGGTCAACATTAAAAACATCAGTAACGACCATCAAGAGAAATATGAGGTAGAAGCACTATCGTACTTCAAATTGTACCTAAAAAACGTATGTAAAAAAAAGGAAAAGAACTCTCGACTCCTGTCTCCATTTTGCACTATGAAGTAATGATAAACAAGCGTAGGATTATCAAATAAAAACCCTAACGTCACTACAAAAAGGAAAGGCCATAGACTGGCGGCTTTCTAGACACTATTGTTAGCGTCGTAAAATACGGCTCGGCTCGCAGTTTCCGTATGCGTTACTCCTCACTTCAGTTATAAGATGAAGTTTAATGATTTACATCAATACACATAAGTCAATCGAGTCTTCAATGTGTTCGTTAGCAATTTTCCATCATAACTTTCTCTTATTATATATCATATTATATTTGTGTACTTCCTGTTCTGGGTCTGTTAGCGTTCCTCGTAATGAATTCCAGTTATCGTTATAACAGCGAAAGTTAGTCCGTAGCAAGTGTGTGCCAAAATGCCTACTAATATAGTTATTATCTAAGTTAAATAGGTTAACTTAATTTAGCACGTATTGCCTTATTAATTATACGAATTATTGTTAATTATACGATTTCGTTTCAGTTCCTTTGTCAGTGTTTATCAAGGCGTCTTCTTCCATAGCAAGAATACGTGTGTTTTTGCTGTTACTTAATCAACTCAGCTTTGATCTAAGGGTAACAAATATCACATTGTTTGTCACGAGTTACAATAGCCTAACATGGACGAAGCTGGTCGCAAGCAAGTGGGGAAAGATCAGCAGATGCTAATGCAGCAAGATAGATATGACTAAGTTATTTAGGAAGAAAGAAATAGATGTATGCATCTATTTCCTATGCCTATATACTCTGCCTATCCATCGTAGCACTTGCTTTCCTTCGGGGCACAATGCAATGGCCCCCGTACAATGTACCCCTCCACACCGACCACCAACTACAATTAGCTTAACAAGCACCGTGAAGGGGAATCGTTGCATGACCATTCTGCAGGAGACCATTAGCGGTCGATCAAAGCCTTATTGATCAGGATCTCTTCGTATAGAGCAACAATGAAACGCGTACAACGATCTGCGTACGTAGGCAGTCCGTGTATGGTAACGCAACAGATCTATGTACTTCGAATAACTAATGATCTTATTGTTGTCGCGCGATTGACAATGCATAGCGAGTGAGCCGGGTAAATGTAATCGCATTGATGAACGTCTGCACGGGTTCGATCCGTATACCTAACGGCCTAATATAGTGATCGAAATAATGACTCAGGCAAAAGTTCGTACATAACTTACAAAGAAAAAACACAGCCGAGCGGTTCCTTAGTGAGCTCAAAGCTTAGTCGCCCACAATGTTGGCTGAGTTTTAGAATCACCGTCGTCCTTGTCGACGAACAAAGCGTAATTCTTCTATCAAAGTTTCTTATACATAAACTGGACGGAAGAAACTTTAAACGCAGTTCCCAATGCGTACAATCAGCTGTTCTGTACGACATGAACCTATGATTCGGGGCTTAGCACAGACCGATGGTGTCTTCGCCCCATGTTCAATAGACTAACGACAGTAATCGGAATAATTAATTTTCGGCGTTCCGGCAACGGGGCACGCACGCCAACGGATCAAGCAAAACGGTCTGCTTTCTCCATATAGTGGTGTCGCACACAAGCTAGCGTGACTAGCGTCACGAAGTCAAATCTAGAACAGCTCTAGCGTCCTGTTTCATTTTAGCAGACATTTTTCTAATCGTGCGTATAGCTAAATTTCAGTTAAGAAAGAACAATTGTTAGACGACACTAAATTTTTCCATGGTAAACGTCTTCCATATCTGTGTTAGCGTTTGCAGTATACGCTACAACTAGATATAGTGTGAAAACTTGCTAAAAGTACTGCACATGTCGGAATTTCTTTTTTTGCCATCTTTCATCATCCGACTGTCGGGCCAGCAATTAAAATATTCAAGTCGCTTTGACACCAACCGATAAGTACCTGGATGTTTTTGACAACCTGTCATCCAGGCTTCCCTCTTGATTTTGTGCCTTGTCAAAAGGCGCGTACGTCACGTCGAGTCATTGGCTAAAAGAGCGACATTTCGTTTATTAGTCACGCATACAAAGTAGCTTTTGATATAGTTAGTTGCAGTCTAGCGTGACGCAAAAGTGGATCAATAGGATCAACGTGTCCACAGCGCAGACGTATCATTGCAGTGTATTACTACTACTTAGTACCATATTCGTTGGATTTTTCTAAATCTAATATGGTATAGCTTCATCCAACGATACGCCATGTAACGATTTCGCCTTGTGACCAGTCTATGCAGTGAGCAGAAAAACAAGAAATATTGTGCAGTATACAATGGTGTTATAGCTGATCGCTGACCAGACACTTGTGCTCAGAGCCATTTTAATGATCCATGAATCAAATCAACTAACGATGCTATACTACATACAAAAATCACGCGTGCCCCGCTCACAATTAATATATTTTATCGAGTATGAACGGCAGATGCTTTGGTGTGTTAACTTTTTTACCGTCCTAAGCGAGTCCTAAAAATAGACTGTGCCGTCTTATAGAAGGATTTCGTCAACGGAGACCAGCCAGCTGCTTGTCATAGATGGCGTGTACCATGAAAATTTCAGCCGGCCATGGGCCACTTGCTTGCTATGCTCGAATATATTACCACGATTCCAAAATTTGATGAAAGAATTGGCCGAAGCATAATCAATATGGCCGTATGCATTGCTATATCCGGGTGTGGGCAAGTGCGATCAACGAAACCCAATTAATTTCCTCAGACGCTGCTAGCATTCGACGCATAGAACAGCTGAACTTGTTCTGCTCGTACAATAGACGCCGTGGCGATGAACACACATCGATGAAGTTATCTAAGGTCGAAACATTTTTTCTCTTCTTCCCTTTGGGGCGGATTCTCTGAATTTGTCAATATATAAACCCAAGTGTTGCTAAAAAATTGATCAGCATCTACTAGCCGTTGGATTATGACGCCCTTTCGCAGCTGCCTGTATAGGGGGGTACGGTACTAAAGCTATTATTGGCGCCGTCGCCGTCGCAATCCTGATGAGCTGACGCGTCTCAGGGTCGGCAATAACGTTGGTTGAAAATTCTATTAAAGGGCTCCACTGTCGCTACCGGGGCTTGCCAACGGTACCTGTCTACTGGCTAACCCTGATGGATATCCCCATATTGTAATTTCGCTTAGATTGGTAAATCGATTGCTCTGTTTGCCATGCCATTACAGACTTGTGTAGGATTTCAATTGATGCTTAGGCTCTGGTCCGTTATCTATAGATTTTTTTCGCGGAAGCGACCTCTGTTCTAATCATGAAATCCGTGAAACAGACAAGGTACGACGTGCGCATAACGCGTAAATACTGCCTAAGCTGTGAATAAAATGAGCTGGAAGTCGTCTCTTTATGTATTCTATGATCTGCTATGGGGGTGTATCCGATCAATAACAATAAAATGTCAAAAATACTAACAAGGGCTAATGTACACTACTAGAATCATTATGGCTGTCCTCCCCATTGTTAGCACGGCGATTAATAAAACGTCCGAATAGTCGTCAATAGGAGGCTGCTGAGAACCCGATTCGAGATAACTTCGATTTAAGATAGTAAATAGAAGCCTGTTTACATCTAAGGCACGTTTTCGATTCGTTTTTCCAAATGCGGACACTGCATTATCTCGCATGAAGGTAGCTAACACGATAGTAGAATGTCGCCGTCTATTCAGATAGGTCATGGGCCAACGTTCTCATAAACGGGTACTGTATACGGCATGCTAACGGTAATCTATATAGTGAATGGCAATATGGTGAATTTTGCCTTAGACGAGCTACCCGACAAGATCTCGGCATAATATCGCACGACACATGTTACCCTATTTGGAGAACTTGTTCATGACACGTTTGAGGCTGCAGGCCACCGAAATAGTATTAACTTGATCGAGAAGAATGATCGTGCCT